GATTTCAAGACCAGCCTGGCCAACATAAGGAGACCCTGTCTCTACCAAAAAAAAAAAAAAAAATGAGCCAGGTGTGGTGGCATGCACTTGTAGTCCTTAGCTACTTGGGAGACCGAGGTGGGAGGATGGCATCAGTGCCTGAGGTCGAGGCTGCAGTGAGCTGGGATGGCACCACTGCACTCTGCCTGGATGACAGAGTGAGACCCTATCTCTCTTCTCATTTTATTTTTTGAGATGAAGCCTCGGTCTGTCACCCAGCCTGGAGTGCCGTGGTGTCATCTCTGCTCACGGCAACCTCCGCTTTCTGGGTTCAAGCAATTCTCCTGCCTCAGCCTCCTGAGTAGCTGGGACTACAGGCACCTGTCACCATGCCCGGCTAATTTTTGTGTTTTTAGTAGAGACGGGGTTTTACCATGTTGGCCAGGCTGCAGGCTGGTCTCGAACTCCTGACCTCAGATGACCCACACCCACCTCAGCACCCCAAAGTGCCTGGATGACAGGTGTGAGCCACTGTGCCCGCCCGGCCTACCTTGTCTCTTAAAAAAAAATCCAGCAGACTAGCTGTGTGACTTCTTCACAGGGTTGCTGTGAGGAATTAGGTAGATAATAAATGTATGTCCACTAGAGGTGTGGACTCAATAAATGTCAGCCACCCTACCCCTGTCCCCATGATGACCCCCAGCCAAGCCACAAAGCTGAACCATCTGCCAGCTGCAGCCCTTGAAGCCCTCTCCTGGGATCTGTTTACAGAAGATGGATGCTGGTGTTTCCAGCTATAGTGGTCCTTGTGGACAAAATCAGTGGTGTTGGTAACAATTTCCTTGGGCCAGAAGAGAATCATACCACAGCTTTAATTAAAGGACAGAGCTGTAACTGTCCTCCTGGGGAACTTACACATTCAGAAATTGATGCTTATGGAAACCTAGCGTTTTCCTTTTCTAGGTGCATTTAAATAAAAACATGGAAACCGCTTCCAATCGATATTGGAATGACCCGTTGCCTGGGGTCATCCATCACTCTGGGTGGCACTTCCTCTCTCAATCTGAAATCTTTGCAGAGGCCAAGATGTCTGTGGACTCTGTTTGATGGAGTCTCCGTGCACTGGCTGGTGACAGGCAGTGGAAGCTTCTCAGCCTTCTCAGTAGACGAAGGAGATTGTGGTGACGCCTGGGGTTTAGAGCTAAGGTGGGAGAAAGCAGGTTGAGAGACTGGGTGAAGAACTGAGAAATCACTCAAACTGGGGAATACTAAATTAGTGTTATTTCAAACATATCAGCGGAGTGCGGTGGCTCACGCCTGTAATCCCAGCATGCTAGAAGGCCAAGGCAAGCAGATCACCAGAGGTCAGGAGTTCGAGACGAGCCTGGCCAACGTGACGAAACCCTGTCTCTACTAAAATTATAAAAATTTGCTGGGCATGGTGGTGGGCGCCTGTAATCCTAGCTACTCAGGAGGCTGAGGCACTCACTTGAACCCGGGAGGCGGAGGATGCTGTGAGCCGAGTTGCGCCACTGCCCTCCAGCCTGCAAGACAAAGTGAGACTCCGTCTCAAAAAAAAAAAAAAAAAAAATCCATTCCTCTGTAGCAGTCTGGTATGAAGACAAACACTGATGACTCATGCCAGCACACAACAAATTTAAAACAAAGAAAACAAGGAAGAGGGATATTAGTAAAATGAGTCAACATAGACTTTGGCAAGAAAGGAAATTCTTTCTTAAAGTTGACGTGTGAGAAGCACGTGTGCCCCTCAGCAGTGATTCGGGACAGGAGAAGCCCAGCCGGTGGGGGATGTTCATCGGCCTGCTCCCTATTCATGTATCCACTTCTTTCCTTCCACAATTTTCAGTCCGCTCCATATCATGCTCTGCAAGAAGGAGCAGGAACACAAAAATGAAAAAAGCCACAGTCTCTGCCCTTGAGGGGCTCTTAGGGTAGGGGAGACACAGTTTCACTAGGAACTCTAATGCAGCGGGGTCTGATGTGGTGGCTTACGCCTGCAATCCCAGCACAGTGAGAGGCCAGGGCAGGATGACTGCTGGAGTCCAGGAGTTCCACGCCAGCCTGGGCAACAGAGTGAGATCCCCCATCTCTACAAAAAATACAAACATTGGCCAGGCATGGTGGCACATGCCTGTGGTTCCAGCTACTCCGCAGGCTGAGGAAGGAGGATGGCTTGAGCCCAGGAGGTCAAGGCTGCAGTGAGCGTGATTGTGCCACTGCCCTGCAGGTGGAATAGCCCCAGTGGCTCCTGCTCCAGTGGTTCCTGCTCCAGTGGCTCCTGCTCCAGTGGCTCCTGCTCCAGTGGTTCCTGCTCCAGTGGCTCATCCCAGTATTTTGGGAGGCAGAGGTGAGTGGATTACTTGAGCCCAGGAGTTCAAGACGAGCCTGGACCACATGAGATGATGGGGGCAACAGCAGTGACCACAACTTTGAGATAGTGGGTTTGTTTTTTGTATTTTTTGAGACGGGGTCTCACTCTGTCAGCCAGGTTGGAGTGCAGTGGTGCCATCTCAGCTCATTGCAATCTTGGCCTCTTGGGTTCCAGTGATTCTTCCGGCTCAGCCTCCCCCGAGAGTAGCTGGGATTACAGGCGCCCGCCACCACGCCTGGCTAATTTTTGTAGTTTTAGTAGAGATGGGGTTTCATCATGTTGGCCAGGCTGGTCTTGAACTCCTGACCTCAGGTGGTCCACTCGCCTCATCCTCCCAAAGTGCTGGGATGACAGGCGTGAGCCACTGAGCCTGGCCGGGCCAAGGTGGTGGATTTGCAGGAGAAACTCAATGCACTTGTTCATGGCTCCCTGCTGGTTCAGGATGGGGATGAGGTGGAGAAGCTTGTGCCTCTCTACAGGAAAAAAAACCCAAAAAAGTGGAACAAGGGCCAACAAAGATAAAGGATCACGAGATCCAGTGCTGAGACAAACAAGGCAGAGGAGGGGCTGAAATGGCCGTCAGAGGGGAGAGCCCCAGGCAGCGGGGACTTTTGCAAGTGCATAGGGAGAGATTAGAAGTTCCAATGAAGAAAAAAAGAGTGTGAGGTCTTCAGGGCCAGCTTTGAGCTGGTAAGGCTGAATTATAGGAAGAAGGCGAGGGGGGCAGAGCCGAGCGTGGGAGGGCCTCCTGTGTCATGCCAGCAGTCTGGACTCCACCCTGTAGCTGACAGGGAGTCAGAAAAGGGCTTGGAGCAAACATGTGGCATATTTGTGGGTAAGGCACGTCTTCCTTGTGGCCTTGAGGGATGGACTGAAGGGGGTGGAAAGTGGGAGCAGGACGGCCTCTCCGATGGTCAGGTGAGAGGTGGGTGGGTGGTTGGCAGGGGCTGCGGAGAAGGTGGCTGAGTTGAGCTCCAGTCCCCAAAGGGCGCTGTGGGGCGGAGGAACTTCCAGCTGCCAAGTCGCTTAGCCTCTTAGATCAATTTCCTCATCCTTAAAATGAAGGAAACATGAATCATTGATAAGGAGTCCCCTCTTTCCGAAAGCGTGAAATGATTATCAGGCCTCTCTCCGCAGGCAGTGGGACCTCACCTCAACCCTGGAAAAGAAGTGGGAAGTGTTGTTCAGCCAGGTGCGGAGGGAGGGCCACGTGGGCGTCCCCACCCATCCCCAGGGCCCCTCTCCAGCTCCTCTTTTTGGTCCTCCCCAGGGGAAGGTGCAGGCTGAAAAGAGGAGGGGGAGCGGAGGGTCCTCATAGACACACACCCCCTTGGGGCCCCACCAGGCCAAGGCGCTGCAGCCTCATGGGACTCGGTCACTGCTGGACCCGGGAGTACAGCTTCGAGGCCCCGGCGCCTCCAGCACAGCTGCTTGGAGCTGTCACCCTTGACTGTTTTTCCCCTGGAAAAGCTTTAGTGAGAAGAGGAGAGACGGCTGACTGGGGCCAGCAAAAACAAAACACAAACCCCAAAGCGTTTTCCCCGGATTCGGATTAAACTGCTCGGAGAGTAGTCAAGTTAGTTCAAGGCAAGATCCGACACTGTGCTCCAGCCTGGACCATAGAGCAAGGCCTTGCCTCAAAGGACAAAATCAATCATCAATCCCGCGCAGGGCGACGACCCATGTCGCCTTCAGTCCCCACGTCTTCCTCCCACCCAGCAGGCGATGCCATGCTTGGGTGCAGGGATGGGGTGGCCAGAGGTCCTGGGTGGACACAGGTTGGGGTGGTCAGGGGTCGGGGTTGGAGGGCAGCAGGGCGGGCAGGGGGTCCTGGGTGGACACGGGCGGGGGGGGACACAGGGTCGGGGTGGACATGGCCCGGGATGGACACAGGGCCGGGGTGGACATGGGTCAGGGGTGGACTTGGGCCGGGGTGGACATGGGCCCGGGGTGGACATGGGCCGGGGGTGGACATGGGCCCAGGGTGGACATGGGCCGGGGGGGGACATGGGTTGGGGTGGACAGGGCCCGGGGTGGACATGGCCTGGGGTGGACATGGGCCGGGATGGACATGGGCCGGGGGTGGACATGGTCGCGGGTGGACATGGGCCCGGGGTGGACATGGGTCGGGGGTGGACATAGGCCGAGGTGGACGTGGGTCGGGGTGGACATGGGTCGGGGGTGGACATGGGCCCGAGTGGACATGGCCCGGGGTGGACATGGGTCGGGGTGGACATGGGCTGGGGTGGACATGGTCGCGGATGGACATGGTCGGGGGGTGGACATGGTCGCAGGTGGACATGGGCCCGGGGTGGACATGGGTCGGGGTGGACATGGGTCGTGGTGGACATGGGGCGGGGCGGGCAGCGCCAGGCGTGGGGGAGGGGTGAAGGCGTGACTCGAGGCGGCCCCACAGCTCCGCCCTACGCGTCCCCGGCTCCCCGTCGCGGCCCCGAGGCGGGAGCTGGCGGGGGATGCCCGGGGCGGGTCTTGGTCCCCCAGGCGCCCGCCCCCGCCGCGGGGAGCCGCTGACGTCAGGGAGGCGAAACCCAGAAGCGGCCGCAGCAGACGAAGAAGGGAACGGGCGCGAGAGCGGAAGGAACTCGGTTTCTCCCGGGTCTCGGGCTGGGGCCGCGGGCGGAGCATGTGGGACCCGCGCGCGTTCGAGCGGCTGTGGCGGGCCCAGTTCCCCGGGGCGGAGGCGCCGGCGCTGCGGCTGGAGACGGCGCGGGACGTGGAGCGGGAGCTGGAGCGCTGCAGCCTCAACCTGGCGCGGCTGCAACAGGTGCTGGCCCAGGAGCGCTTCAAGGCCTCGCACCTGCGCGCGCTGCTGGCCGCGGAGGGGCCCGCGGCGGCCGGAGACCCCCGGGACCCTGAGGCCGCAGTCCCCCGCGCGGGAAGGAGCTGGGCCGCCGCCGTCCACCAGCAGCTGCTGCAGCCACCGCTGCGGTTCCGCGCCCGGGAGGACGAGGCGGGCGCCGGTGGCGACTCGGAGACGCTGGATCCGAACGAGGAGTTCGCGCTCGGCCCCTGGCTGACTGCCCCTTGCCGGTTCCGGGTGCGGGGGGACGAGGCGGAGGAGAGGCCGGGGCGCGAGAGCAGCCCCCACCGCGGGACGCCCCCGACCCCACGGGCGCCGAGACCCCCGCGCGGGAGCCCCGACCTAGAGCAGCTGGAGGCCGAGGCGGAGGAGCCCCCCAGGCGCGGGGCCCGCGACCACCTGCCCCCGTGGAGACGCCGCAGGTTCCTGCGGGCGCCCGAGCGGGACTCGCCCGCCCACAGCTCGCCGGAGAGGGACAGCGACGGCAGCCACCACAGCTCCGACCGCGAGGACCGCTTCTCCGCAGGTGGGCGCCCCGCCAGACCCCCTAGACCCCGCGCGCCCCTCTCTAGACCCGCCGCGCCCCCCACCCCACCCCCTGGGCCGCTGACGCCCTCCCTGGCAGACGTCGTGGCCCTGTTTAACCTCAAGGTCGGGGCTGGGACGGGCGGGAAGGCGGATGAGATGCGCCTGTTTACCCCAAAGCCACTTGTGGAACTTAGAAAAAAAGTGCGCAGCGATGCTCAGCGCGGGTGACTGTGGAAATTAGCCTCGCGGGAGCGGCACCAATAATGAAATGGGGCGTGGGACCAGCCCGTGGGAGGAACCTTCGCCCAGGCCTCGGCCCTTCGGCTCTGGGCGCTACAACACTCGCCCCGTCCCTGCAGCCCGCCCCGCCCCCCGGTCCGGACACCCCGGTCCCTGCAGCCCGTCCCCCAGTCCAGACACCCCCGTCCCTGCAGCCCTCCCCCTGGTCCGGACACCCCAGTCCCTGCAGCCCGCCGCGCCCCGCGGTCCAGATCCCTCCCAGCCGCCCTGAATGTGGATCCTTCTCCCCACCCGCGCCAGCGGCTTCCCACTTCCAGACACTCCTGACTCTTTCTGAGCTCCAGTTTCCAGCCTGTGGAAGCTGAACTCTTCCCCCTCGGGCTTCTGAACCTGTGCCTCATCTTCTCCAGGCTGCTCTGTGCGTGGGAAGCTTCACAGCTCCGCACAGGGAAGCTCCCTGACCCTCGCCAGCCCCCCTTGGCGGACGCGTTGTCTTAGGAGCCTGCGCGCGGCCTGTCGGCTTTCTAGGAGCCTGGGAGCGTGAGAGGAAGGGGAAGGCTTAGAACCGTCTAGTTTCCAGCTCGCCCGGCGCGGGGAGATCATGTCTAGTGCCCGCATTTGATAAAAGAGGAAACTGAAGCTCAGGAGGATGACGTGCTGGCTAGGGTGAGCTGAGGCCTTCCCGGGGCCTCCTGCCACATCTGCTCTCTTCTGAGGACAGGGCCTGGTCTCAGTCGTCTTTGAACCCCCTTCTGGTCGCACCCACAGGGCCTTGAAACAGCGAAAGCTCAGCGAATAATGCCTGAATGAATGCGTGATGGCAGGGAACTGAGCGCCCGGCGGCTCTTCGTAGGTCAGGGAGTGGGAATGGGGCCGAGGAGGAAACTCAGGCGGGATGTGGGGTGGCGTTACTGCCCCTTGCTGCATCTGGGAACGGTCAGAGTCTCCTCAGCCACGCAGAAGGCAGGACACTGGTGGCGTCTGGTTGGGTCAAGCTGCAGGAATTTTAGATGTCTTCCTGCTCAGTGAAGGAGGAGAAAAAAATCACTGATGCTGGGATTGTTCCAAAATCTCCATTATTTGATTTTATCTGGGCGAGTTTGCATTTGAATGAAAAACCGTCCACTTTGCTAAAAGCGCATTTGGAAGGCCCATCAGGTCATCTGTTTTGATCAATTACACTAATTCATTAGCAAAGATTGGCTGCATTTCCAATAGGTCATCCTTTTGTCGCCTGTGCTAGTAACATTTTTATATGTCTCTTTAACGTAAGGGAAGAGCCTGAAGCTTTCACTCTAGTGCCAAGTTGCAAATGCCCTCAATGGAGGCTCCCCCAGGCCCAGGTGCTTCAGAGCTGGCTCCAATCCCATCCCCTCAGACCCACATCCGTCACCCTGCCCAGTGAGCCCGGCGCACTGGAGTTTCCCCAGGGGGTGATGTTTATTTCTGTGAGGTGTCTTGTCTCCCATAGGACACTGGAGCACATAGGGCACCTTGATGCCAGTTAGGAATCGGCGCTGCCCCTGGGAATTGCAAAGCGTGCTCCCCTCCGGGTGGACCAATGATAAGGGTCTCATTCCTCTGGACTAAAGACTCGTGCCAGGGCACATGTCTGGCACTCGTGGCTTTGGCCAGTGAGGCCTGGGCTGTATTTCAGGCACCGTTCCAGCCCCTCTATAGGGCAACCTCCCGTAGAGAAACTGCACAGCCACATGTGTGGGTTCTGCGTCCCGTCTCCAAAGCCTCTTCAGTGAAGAAGTGAGTGGGGGGTGGGCTCACACATGGTTACATGCACACACACACACACATGCTCACCTGCCTGCACACATACATGTGCACACTGTCGCATGCACACATGCAGGCACACACAGCTGCACACACACATATACATGTGCACACTGCCACATACATGCACACACACACCTGCCCACCTTTATACATGTGCACACTGCTACATGCATGCACACGCACACACCTGCACACATTTATACATGTGCACAGTGCCATATGCATGCTCACACACATCTGCCCACCTTTATACATGTGCACACTGCCACATACATGCACGTACACGCACACACCTGCCCACATATATACATGTGCACACTGCCACATACATGCATGCACACACATACGCACACCTGCACACATATATACATGTGCACACTGCCACATACATGCACGCACACGCACACACCTGCACACCTTTATACATGTGCACACTGCCACATACATGCACACACACGCACAGCTGCACACATATATACCTGTGCACAGTGCCACATGCATGCTCACACACATCTGCCCACTTTTATACATGTGCACACTGCCACATACATGCATGTACACGCACACACCTGCCCACATACATACATGTGCACACTGCCACGTACATGCATGCACACATATATGAACACCTGCCCACATATATACATGTGCACACTGCCACGTACATGCATGCACACATATATGCACACCTGCCCACATATATACATGTGCACACTGCCACGTACATGCATGCACACATATATGCACACCTGCACATATCTATACATGTGCACACTGCCATGTACATGCATGCACACACATATGCACACCTGCCGACCTTTATACATGTGCACACTGCTACATACATGCACGCACACGCACATGCACACACCTGCACACATATATACATGTGCACACTGCCACATACATGCATGCACACGCACATGCACACACCTGCACACACATATATATGTGTGCACACTGCCACATGCATGCACACACACGCCTGCATATTTATGTATACATGTGCACGCTGCCACATACATGCACGCACACAGATACGCACACCTGCACACATATGTGTGTGCACATGCACACAAGCTGGGAGAAAGAGCCTTCAAGCATACAGGGAGGCACTAGAGTGTAGCGATCAAGGGCAGGGTTTTCACGATGCGGTGACGCTCACTGAAATGAGTGTGGTCGGCAACTAAAGCAGCCGGGAGGTCTCCCGCCACCACCCTTGTCCTTTGCTGCTGCGTTTTTCTCTGCAGCATTCCCCAAATTACAACCTTAGGTGCTACAATTTTCATGTGGATCTTAACTCACCGCCTCACTCCAGTGAAATGCAAGCTCCAGGCGGGCAGGGATTTTTCCCTCTTTCATTGGCCGTAGCCCCCAAGGCCGCAACAGTGCCTCACACGTATTCAGTGTTCTGTACATACTGCTTGAGGAATGCAGCTGTTTAATGGGACGGGATAGGACAGAAAACAGGTGAGTGTGTTGGCCATGCTGAGCATGATTGGGTTTGGACTCAGTTTCAATTATATGCAGATATGTATGTGTACGCTGGGAACTGACGTAGAATGTGTTTCTTGCTGTGAGAACAGAAACGTTTGCAAACACTGACGAAAACCATGGTTTCTGAAGCTAGACTGCCTGGGTGGCATTAGAAGTTATTTGACTTTTCTGAGTCTCAGTCTCCTCATCTGTAAAATGAGGCTGATAAGCACCTCTTCTCTCATACTGCTGATATGAGAAATGAAAGGGATCACATTTCTAAAGGATTTTGGATAGGCCCTGGCACATAGTAAGCACCCATAAGTGTTAATTAACCAGTACTACAGGTTGTTTTTCTTTGAGTTGCCTTTTTTTTTTTTTCTTTTTTGAGACATAGTCCCGCTCTGTCACCCAGGCTGGAGTGTGGTCGCCCAATCTCGGCTCACTGGAATCTCTGCCTCCCGGGTTCAAGTGATTCTCCTGTCTCAGCCTCCCGAGTAGCTGGGATTACAGGAGTGTGCCACCACGCCTGGGTACTTTTTGTATTTTTAGTAGAGATGGGGTTTCGCCATGTTGGCCAGGGTGGTCTTGAACTCCTGGCCTCCAGTGATCCGCCTGCCTCGGCCTCCCAAAGTGCTGAGATTACAGGCATGAGGCACCACGCCCGGCTGAGTTGCTTCCTCAGAGCTTCCCACGCCCCAGTCATTCTGGATTAAAGATGCTTTGGTTTTCTGGGATGCATGTGGCCGGGTACAATGGCTCACACCTGCAGTTCCAGCCCTTTGGGAGGCTGAGGTGGGAGGATTGCATGAGGCTGGGAATTTGAGACCAGCCTGGGCAATACAGTGAGATCCCATTTCTAAGAAAAAAAAAAAAAAAGTCAGGCCAGGCGTGGTGGCTCACGCCTGTAATCCAAGCACTTTGGAGGCCAAGGTGGGCAGATCACCTGAGGTCGAGTTCAAGACCAGCCTGACCAACATGGTGAAACCCCGTCTTAAAAACAAAGAAAAAAAGCAAAAAAAGAAAAAGTAAAAAAAAAAAGAAAGAAAAATCAGTCAGCTATGGTGGTGTGCACCTCTAGTGCCAGCTGCTCAGGAGGCTGAGGTGGGAGGATTGCTTGAACCCAGGAGGTTGAGGCTGCAGTGAGCTATGACTACTGCTGCACTAGGCCTGAGCAACAGAGTAGTACCCTGTTTCTGAAAAGTATAAATGAATAAGATGCATGTTTCCCCCTCCCAGCAAGGCTCTGACTCTTTCTAGAACCTCCCAGGAAGCAGGACAGGACCCCAGGCAGAGGTGATCTTGGCTCATGGGTCTCTTGCTGGATTGGCTCTACCAGCAGTCACACCCATTATCTGCATTCAGAGGTACTTGAGGTCAGGTTTTATGGGGCAATGCAGGCCCTGCCTTAGTCTCGGGGTTTCAGAGAGAAACACGTGAGGCCTCTCTAGAGAGGCCCAGAAGCAGAGGTGAAAAGGGCCACCTTTGGAAAGG